CGAGGTTGTCAGTGGACATCAGCGGTGCGAGCGTGTGCATCCGGAAATTGCAGCCGGAGGAGCAATTCTCGTGGGTTTCTTGGGCCTTTCTGGTCTAAATACTCGGGTCGGAATAAGTAGCTATATAATCAGTGTAGATGATGAACAAGATCAGGGACCCTTAAGCAGGAGCACCTCATGTGCTGAACCCCTTGGAAAACAGAAACAGGTCCGATTGTAGATCTAGGGTTAATTCAATACCCTAAACCCTAAACCCTAAACCCTAAACCCTAAACCCTAAACCCTAAACCCTAAACCCTAAACCGTTTCAACACCCCTTTGTGAAAACAGCACGGCACCGAGTAGGAAGACCCCGGTTCTCCCTTTTGGCTTCGGTAAGGGGTGCACACCTTAGCTGCGTGGTGGCTTCATGTGGGGGTTTCCGAAAATAGGGGACCCTAATATAGTACCCTAAATAATAGGATCCCTATTATAAGGACCCCAAAATAAGGTACCCTAATTTTCTGAAACTCCCATGTTTTTGCTTGGAAAGTGTCCTAAGGTTTAGGGTGTAATGTAGGGGCCGAAATAGTTGCCAGAACTATTTTGGGAGTTCCTTATTATATCTGTAGTATAATGGGCCCCCAACCCGTATTCTAGGTTTTTTGGGTCCCTTTTTAGGGCTAGGGTTTCAGAGGGTGCTAGAGGGTTTTATGAGGGGGTTTGTGGCTTAGGGCTTCGGTGTAACGGTGGCCCCTCCTTTAAAGAGAGCTTTACCTAAACCCTAAACTCCAAACCCTAAACCCTAAACCCCTAAACCCCTAACCCCTAAACCCTAAACCCGGCATTTCGAAGAGCACTTCTGCGAGCTCCTTGCGTCCCTAATCCTGGAACCCTAAACCCTAAACCCTAAACCCTAAACCCTAAACCCTAAACCCTAAACCCTAAACCCTAATCCTAGAGGGTTCGAGCAGAAAGCAGTCCCAGATCACCGAGGCCTAAGTCGTAACGGGGTTCTTGTTAAGGAAGTTGTATTAAGGGTTTTGGGCTTTAGGGTTTAGGGTTTAGGGTTTTAGGGTTTAGGGTTCTAGGGTTTAGGGGCTCAGGGTTTAGGGTTTTTGGGGTTAAGGAAGTCGATTTTATGTAAGCTACCAGCTACCCATAGAAGGTGCACCTATTAGTCACTATAGATCCTTATTCTGTTAACTTAACTTATTGGCTGTAAACTCA